CTACCTGACAATTAATAATCAAACGCATTCTGGTTGAAGGAAACAAAATTTCTAGTTAATAAAATAATTAATAGCTTAATTAATACCTGACATAAAAATGTATTATTATATCGGTAATCTAATTTTAAATCACTGGTAATTTGAATATAAAACATCCCTATTCAATCATTATTTAATTAACCCTTTGTGTTCCAAATTCCAACAACCTAAATTATTGGAAATCTTGGAAATCTTGGGATTCTACTATATAAAAAATTACGGACACCATATGGTAGAAAAATTTTGTTGAATTTGACACATTTGACATGTCCAGACATGTTCCAAACAGTCCGCACAAATTTTTATGTTAAATTAACCCAAATTGTATATGTTAAAAACAACACAAATACTGTGTCAAAAACTAACGCAAAATTAATATATCCATCGGCACAGAAATATAAAATGTCTTATTTTAACATTTATTTATGTTGATATCGACATGACACAAAATATGTATTGAGATAACATAAGCACAATGTGTTAAATTGACACACGGGTATGTTAAAAATTTAACACAAAAATTTGAACAAGTATCTACTTTAACGCAAATACAAAATGTTTTTTACTGCGTGTATAACCGACTGTTGATAAATGTATTCTTTTCACATAATTCGACAGTACTTATGAATAAACTGCCAACGTGCAAGAAATGGAGCTCATCGAGTTAAAACGTATCGAGCTGTTTATCTAGAAACACGAGACTCGCGCGTTTCTTTCCGTGTGAACGTACATCCGTTTCCGAAAGTGCCGAGATATATTCTATTAGGTTGGTACAAATGAAATGTCCGTTTTCAGTGTTTTGAATTTCCCACCCCTATAGATTACTTTTCATTCATACAGAGGACGGTGTATATATACTGTGTGAAAAGTACATGATCCACATGTGATTTAGCGTACATAACTTTATTTCTATATTGTACTGTTAGTCATAGAAGTTTGCATTAACGCTGTGATGGAAAATAGAGAAATTCGTATAATTTACTTATACGAGTTCAAACTTGGTCATATTGCAGCCGAGGCAACGCGTAACATTCATACTGCATTTGGTGAAGGTACTGTAAGTGAAAGAACGACGAGACGTTGATTTGAAAAATTTCGTTCTGAAGACACAAACCTCGACAATTTGTCTCGCGGATACGCACCTTCCGTCATTGATGACGTTGTTTTGAAGAAGATGGTTGAAACAGATCCGAGGTTAACAATCTGAAAGATTGTCAAAAGATTCGAAGTTGATCATTCAACTGCCGTCCGATATTTAAACAAGTTGGGAAAAGTGAAAAAGTTGGATAAATAGGTCCCCCATGAAATCATAAAGAGAAAGAAATTGAGACGTTTGGAGATCTGCATTTCTTTGCGGTTGCGACAGAACACAGATGGAATTTTACACAGTATTGTGACTTGTGATAAAAAATGGATTTTGTACGACAACCATCGACGTTCTGCGCAATGGTTAGATGTGAATGAGGCTCCAAAATACATTCCAAAATCGAATCTTCACCCCAAGAAAATGATGGTGTCTATATGGTGGTCTAGCAAAGGTATCGTTCATTATTCATTTACCAAACAAGGTGATGTTATAAATTCTGATAAGTACTGTCAGGAAATTGCCACCATGCACCGAAAACTGTGCGCTCCACAGCCAGCATTGGTCAACAGACACGGCATGTTTCTGTTGCACGATAACGCTAAACCACAGATTGCAAAACAAACCGTTCAAAAACTCGCCGAGTGAACATTGAAGTTCTCCTTCACCTTCCCTATTCTCTAGACATTTCACCAACAGATTATCATCTTTTCAAACATCTGGATGCGTTTTTGGCGGGCAAAAATTTCAATGAAGAAAGAAGTGTGAAAAATGCATTTAAGGAGTTTATCGATTCACGCTCTCTAGATTTTTTTAGAAAGTGCACTGATGCATTTGGATCACGTTGGCAGAAGTGTGTTGAAGTAGGTGGAAGCTATTTTGATTAGTTATGAAAGTTTTAAATTTGAAAAATACAAATTTCAACTTTACATTTATAAACGGCCATTTCATTTGCACCATCCTAATAGAAGTAATTTCTTCGAGGTTACTCCGAGAGAAGAAATTTACTTGAGGAAAATACGGGAGATACGAGCATGTACGCGCATGTAGCGCATACGCGATATATGCGTCGGGGTGTGAAACAAGAAGGTGAGAAGAAAGGTGATATTACTACCACTGATACCCGGTGCCGGCTGAGTGATTGCATAGACCTCGTTAATTTGAGACCGCATGTCCGTTATGCGCTCGAAACGCATCGCGTGCGTTTGTACTTTCGCATTTTTTCCCCGTGGTAACGTGAAGTGAACGTTGAATGCCGCGAATTCCTCGCCTCGGGAACGACCGATTTGTCGGAATCGCGCGATCCGGCCGCCGTGTTACGCGGCGTGTTCCCTCCTTCGAACGAACCACGCATCGCCGGCCGTTGGATCACATAGCGAGAGGCGCCAATTAATTCATCCTCACGATAAGAAGGCTATATCATCAATCGGCGCTAACGCAAAACGCACGAGAGATCCTCGGATCTACTTTTCAAACTGGGATAGGAAACGGATATGCTTCCTCCTCGCGCTACATTTCTGCAACTCAAATTCGATATGCGCGTGATGCAGAAAAAGAAACAAAAAAAGTTAAAAATTTTACGATATATTCACAAAATTGTGAAAGTATTATATATACGAGGGCGGTCCGATAAGTACTTAGCCTACAAAAGAAAAACGAAAATTTTGGAAAAGTGGCGATTTATTTCTCAACATAGTCTCTTTTTAGCTCGATACACTTGACCCAGCGATGCTCCAACTTCTTTAACCCATCTGAAAAATACGTTTTCTCGAAGTCTGCAAATAGGCCTCCGTGGCGGCGATGACCTCCTCATTCGGCCAAATTGGTCGAATTGGACTACGAACTGCTGCCCCATCCACCGTATTCTCCAGATTTGGCCCCGTGCGACTTTTTTTTGTTTCCAAACTTGAAAAAGTCACTCGCCGGGCAGAAATTTGAGTCGAATGAGGAGGTCATCGCCGCCACGGAGGCCTTTGCAGACTTCGAGAAAACGTATTTTTCAGATGGGTTAAAGAAGTTGGAGCATCGCTGGGTCAAGTGTATCGAGCTAAAAAGAGACTATGTTGAGAAATAAATCGCCACTTTTCCAAAATTTTCGTTTTTCTTTTGTAGGCTAAGTACTTATCGGACTGCCCTCGTATATAGTGAAAATATACAATAAGAAAAAATATAATATATAATAATATGAAAGCATTTTATATATTAATATATTAGTATTATAACTATTATTATATATATTATACATAGCATTTTTTAATATCATTAAAACAAGTTTCTAAAACTCTACCACTGAATTGTGCGTGGGCGTTTTTCAAAGTTTTCCGTAATTTCCAACGCTGCAATTCCAGAAAGTTTGCGCATCGATATCTCCAAAAGAAGCTCATAGATAAGACTTTAAGCATCAAACACTCGAGCCCTGCTTATCGATAGATAAACAATGTCCAGAACCAAATCAATGAACGCGTGATTATGCATGAGAATCTTTACGAGACGCGGATAGTGTCGGGAGGATCGTAGACAGCAAGGTGCGTCGACCGGACGGACGGACGCCTGCGTTCCTCATCGTGTTCGCCGCTTCTCGACGGTGCTGTCCTCTCCAACAGTCCATATATATACCTGCATTTGCCGTCCCACTGCGCGGGTCGACATAATCACAACCGATACCGTTATTTCAGCCCCCACCACGAAGGCCACGGTCGTGTACCTGCACAGCCCACGGCTGGGGGTTCTCGCGTAGGAAGCGGAGAAGGAAGGGAACACCACGTGGAGGCAATGACACACTAACCTTGATGCATGCGAGGCACCGAGGGGGAAAGCCGACGGACCAATCGCAGACACGGTCCGCTTTCCTACCTCGCTCGACACAGTGACCCCGTTTCCTTCCTCTTCCTAGTCTCCCACCTGGCGCGATCCTCTCTCTCTCCCCGCGCCCCCCACCCGCGTGACACGTCATTCTATCTTTTCTCCGTCCGTGAACCCGCATGTAGGTCATTAGCCTTCTCGTCTGACCGACTGAATAACCCGCTTACGGCTCTGTACGTACACGTACCATGTATCTTTCTCTCTCTCTCCATCTCTCTTTTCCTCTCCGCTTCGGAATGTGTCTTTCCCAATGTTCACTTAATTGCTCGCGAATCGGGAAACCTTCGTTGCGAATATAATCTTTGTCGAATATAACCTATATCGATGTCGCAAGATGATATCGCGAACTCATCCAGATCGAGCGATAGTGAGATATTGACGCGCCCCGAGCTCCGCAATTTGCCGATGATGCGTGGCACTTTTTGACGATTTCTCATCGCCGTCGCAGTGATAGACTGGAAAAAGGATTCTGTAACAATTATCGAGATTAGATTAAATAATTTCCAAATTGTTTGATTACTGCAAATCATTTAGTATTATACTGTATTGTAGTACCATGTGTTATATACAGTATTATATGAGGAAAATGATGTAGTGAAAATTACCATTGTTGCAATCTTTATTGATATACTCCATTGTGCGTGTCATTAAAGATTACAATATATCAATACAATAATAATTTCAATCGTAATTCCGGTACGGTCTAATATTACAAAATATTAGTAATTGTAATAATTTTTACTATAATATTTTCTCCGCGTATATACTAAATAATTTGTTTGCAGCAATCGCCGAACAATTTAATCGAAACTAATTAAATCTTGGTAATTAGTGCCAAATTCTTTTTTCAGTGAACATGGCTCTGGTTGCTTAGCCGATGTTGTAATAATATAGACAAGTTTTATTATAAAAATACGATTTATTTCACGTCAACATCAAAGGAGTGTATGCGCGCGAACACACGCGACGAATAAATAAATAAATAAATAAGTGGCAAGGTGACTTGTCGCGTTTCTCATTGGATATCGTGGTACGGATATTGTTCGCTGTTGTATTCGGGTGCCCAGCCTTTGTAGGGTGAACTGACCTCTTGCTCCGACCTGTGCCAATGATCATGGTGAATCTCATGCGGTTTTATCACCCCGTAGGTGACCCTCGGCGGCGGCGGCGGCGCAAGAAGGGCCTTCAAGGTCACAGCGCCCGATAGCAGAAGCGCCAAGAAGGCATTGCCTAAGCCCTTGAGGCCTATCAGGCCGATCACGGTGATGACGATGGGCAGGATAATCAGAGTCTTGAATTTTAGCAGCAACAACAGAGGCAGGATCATCTTTTTCAGCCTGGTGCGCGCTGCAGAAAGCGATGCGATAAAGTATCTTGCATATTGTTGTGTCATCGTCACACACGGAGAGGAAAGATTGGTTGAATTAACGTGAACAAATCAAACGCGTTTTCGTTCGAATGAAACAGAATTTATAGTTTTTGTAAACTGAATTCGATTTTTAGAACCAGAAATTTGGTTTCCTCCCACCAATACGCATACGGTTTGTCTCCTGTCACGTTTCGACTAATCTTCCTTTTCATGCATTATTTGATAACAATTTGTAATTTGTGATAATTCATTTTCATAAACGTGAAGAAAACCTTCCGGTTACATATTTAATGAGAAAATATAGTCCGTAATAGTAATATTATGTCAAATTATTATATAGGGCGAGACCGTAACTATACCATTATACGTATTATACCACTTTGAATATCTTCGAGAGATAAAAATATTTTATTAACAACTAGATGAAAGTAAAACAAGTTCACACGTACAGAAGGTGTGAAGGATCGAAATGATGATCATTGATATTAATGCAATTTCTGTTAGATGAATTTGTTTCCTATTATCATATTTCAAAAATATCCAAGATACTGTAATAATTATCGCTTCTGTATGTGACAAGATATTGTATATAGTAATGGGAAAAGATCTCAATAAGTTAGAAATCATTAACATAACGTTATTACAATGATATTTTATAACATGTAACATTTTCAAATATAGTAATTCTTAATATTGTATATAAAGTTATTATTAATAATATTTGACAAACATTAAAAATGATATTTCTACACTATGATTTTAATATTTAGGAACATTACATTATCAAGTATAATAATTAGGAACATTACGTTATCAACAATTTAAGAACATTTATAAAATATTATTACGTCAAAATATATATAAAATCCGATATAAAATCGATGTTTCAAAAGATTGATACGATATTCCTTGTTTACTGGGATGTTACATCATTTTCCTATGTACTACATAGAGACTGTAATTTTCATCCTTGTTGCTATTAATTCGCTACAATAACCAATATGGAAGATTAGATAAGATTATTCTCGACGGGTTCTCTCGTGAATGACAACGGAGCTCGGGGAGAGAACACACAGCGAGGTGAATAAAATCGTTATTAACTATAACGGAAATGTAGAGCGCGATTAACATCGGCGGATCGATAATCGCAGGATGCCACGCGGCGCGAGGGGCATTTCTAGGAGACTCCAAACGGACGTACATCATCCAGTCTACTTTCTTCGACGTGCGACACTCTCGTTCAAGGTCCTTCTTAGACGTCTTCTCGCGGTGGCCCCGTCCCAGAAACCCGGAATCCCACCAGACCCCGCCGAACGTTGGTAACCCACTTCGGCCCACTCCCACCCTGCGGCGTTTGTTTTCGCGGATATGGCTGCAAGTGGGACGCGTCGTCGTAGCTTTCTATGTACGAGTCTCCTCGTTCCGGTCGCTCTCACTTCCCTCTCTCTCGTGCCTCGTCGACGAACGTCGGTAACATGCGCGCGCGTGCGCGAATTTTTCAACATTTTCAAAACGTCGCATATGTGGCGATAAGAGCGGAGGAAAAAAATCCGGGAAAATTTACGAATCACCGGATGAAAAGAAAAAAGAGGAAGCTGCACATACCACGATAGAGAGATGCGGAGGACGCGTGCCGGCCGCGATCCAATCGATAGGGAAGATGCGGCGAGTTATACTTTCCAGCCAATGAGCCCGGGGGCTCGTGGGCTACTTCGAGCTCATTGGCAGAATTTTAGAAAGGTGAGCCGCTATAAGTTTGCGCCCGGTGAATGATGTATTCATACCGGAGCGAAGCGTCAGGGAGGAGAGAACGAGGCAGCTCCATATTAGAGACCTGACGGAATGCAGAGTCTTGTGCGTTGAAGTCGATAGCTTAGATGCGGCAAATATGTTCGCGGGATACAGATTGGTCCGATAAATAAATTGTATGGATGTTTGAGAGAAAGAATGTTTTACACACTTGTAATTGCGCGGAAAAAAAGAAGTTAGCTCCCATAGCTGAAAACTAGCTGCCGCGGTTAAAAATTGGCTCGCGCAGACAAAAATTAGCTGTCCATATAATACAACTGAAATTTAGTTAATTTAGCTCATTCTTTTTGTCCCTATACCTAGTTTTTAGCTCCCACAGCCAAAAATTAGGTCTGGTAACTAAATTTCAGTTGTATTATACGGATAGATAATTTCTCTTTTCCGTGTGTATAACGCGTAGGAAGGTATAACAAGATTTATGTGCATTATTAGATAGACTCAATGGACCAGTATTACAAATTCAATGGATTACCATTCGCTAATTGTTATCTCGAAATAATATCTATACCTTTGAAAATTCTAAAATTATCTCTTGATGTATGAAATATGTACTGAGGAAATAAATGGTAGAATCATTCCTTGGCGTATAAAAATATACATTGAGAATAAACGTAACCAACGAAATTTTGTTTAAATGAACAAAATGTTTACAAGTGAAAAATTTAGTTCATTGAATAAATTATACAACTACTGTAATGAGTTATTGATTGATTCAACGATTGCGATTTGATCAGCAACTATATCAACGTATTGTTGCACCAACGCGTAATTTGTTTAGTGGATACTTTTTTAATGAGTATGACCGCCGACTTTTTGTCATTCCGTTTCTTTTCTCAATGTAATAATAATTTATGCAATCGAGTATGAATAGACATGAATAGATTTTTTAAGCGATACGGCTGCGGGGAAATTATTATCTTTCCTTGAAGTGCATTTAGTAGTTGAAAATTGCCGAAACTGCCTTAAAAATGTGGTCTAATGCAGCTTTTATAGACGCTAAGCGCATCGTATTACGTGAATCGTGTTTCTTAAACTATAGTATAATTTCCTAACTTCGATCTAATTTTTAAAACGACATTTCTCTTTGCGAACGTATTTCTCCGAATTATTCTAATAACACGAGCTCATTATGCGTACAAATTTCAAGACGAGTGCAGCCGCCTTCCACTTACCCAATTGCACAAAACTGTCTGAAATTTACAAACTTGCGTTCTACCTGTTGAACTTAAAACAGGATTAATCCCCCGGTCCCGTTTCTTTCTCTTAAAATTCTTGATGCCTCGTTGCAGTTGTCTTGCTTGATAACGTCAGAAGCGAAAAATCCTTGCGAGATAAGTTGAAACAAAAGGACGTGTTCGTAAAATGACACTCGTGATCAATTGAGACACATTTGTAAAATATATTTAAATCTGTCCTCTCTTGCAATCAATAAACAACCGTAAAATTCATCTGATGTACAATCTTCCTTTCTGGCCTATCTTTCCTCATGATTTTGTTATGTTAATCTTACAGCTACTTACTGACCGTTTAAATAAAATTAATGTTAAAGTAAAAAAAAATTTTTCGGATTATTTTACAAATGTGCTCAGTTGATCACAAATACTGGATAAAAAATTTTATGTTACAATCAGTACATTGAAATGTTGTGTTACTTTAACATGGAGAATATATTTAAGAAAGTACACAAATATAATGTTAAATCATCATTTATCTTGTCAACGTATGTTGACGTTAATTTAACATTATACTTGTATATTTTTTAACACATTCCCCGTATTAAAGTAACAACATTTCAATTTGCCGTTTCTAACATAAGATTTTTTACTATGTATCATTTTATGGACGTATATTTTCAACGTATTCCTCAAGAATTTTCGGTATACCCGAATTTTCTCGCTTCCGACATTATCATTAATCAAGATGACTGCGACGAGGAAACAGGAGCATCGAGCATCATTCTTATACGAATCATCGTTTACCTTCGGACGCTCCGCTCGTCAAACTTCTTAATTCTACGTCGATGCTCTTGCGGCCAAGGGCGCGGCCGAATAAACCGGCGGTCGAGCTGTCATTCGGCAGATTGATTTGGATCTTCCGCGTCTTCAGGAATTTCTCAACTCTGCTGACGAGCGGGTCAGCGCTCTCCTCCGCCGGCTGCTCTCCTCCGTCCTCCGTGATCTTCTCTGCGGTGATCATATCGCCGTAGATGCTGATGGTGTTCTTCTTGTTGACCTCGTCCATCGCCTTCGTGAGCTTCCCTTCCACGTACTCCAGACTGTTGCCGTCTTCCCGGCTCGGATCGGCCGCCACCGCCAAGGCTGCCAGTTGCAAGGCCAACATTACGATCGCTCTGCTCCTCATTGTTACGAAAGTGCGACTTCGGAGAAACGACTTTTGACTGTTCGCCCCCGGGGCCATTTTTTCTTTTATACGATTCGCGGTCGATGGTGGGGTCGGGCTGGGTCATTTGGCAAGCTACGGACAAGGGCAGCGGTGTCGAGAATTTTAATGTCGCCCACCCTCTGAAAAGCGCCAACACGCGCCTCTGAACGTTCTCGTCGCGTGACGTAGCATAGAACCGAGTGGAGTTCGAGTAGCCGGCAGAAGAAAATTTTCCTTTTACTCGCGAATCACTTTCCGACCGTGTCGTTTGGAATTCTGCTCCTCGAGCATTTTTTCCCGACGCGCGTTTTCCAACGGAGAGTCCCACTCGTTTCCGAGCGGATTCCCTTGGCGAACATGCAACACGTCAGTCTTTATCTCGCGTTCCAACGTATGCAACCGCGCGTTGTTATATCTTTACGTGAAAGTTAATTACGTAATTAGCCAAAAGTACTTCTCTGCAAGTACATGAAAAAATGCGTTTCCAATTAACTGCCGCGTGCATCAATTTCTATCGTGTAGATCTCTTTTCGCGGAGGAAAAATTTCATTTCCACCAAGAAAGTGGAAATTAATCTACGACGAATTGTATCTTCCGGCCACAATCTGGTGTCAATTCCGTTGAAGTATAAATTTAGATTTAGTCATACAATTATTTATAAATTAATTAAATAAACTAAAATAAAATAATTATACTTTTGAAGGCTCGGAAAATCCTGGTCTCTTCTATTTTCCTGCAAATATTTTCGGTTTCTTTCCCAAGGACAAATAAATTCGTTCAGAAAAATTCATGTGTGTTCGGTTGAAACCGGCGTCATATTTATTTATTTCCGTAAGATAATAACATATATTTGACTGAAATTAAATGAAATTATTATGTTATATGTTAAACAACAATATATTGCTTTCAAAATATTGTAGCCAAATATATTGTAGATAAATATATAATATATAATATATATAATATAATGTTATATCACTGCGCATAATTTTTTTTAAATCCGTGTTAATAAGAAATAACTATTGGTTGGCTCATATAAAGTTACAGACTAACGTTTCGAAAAAAATTTATATTCGAAAAAGAGTTTCAGACAAAAGTTTTAAGATTTCGTGGGAGGCATAAATATCATTGCATTATTAAACAATTTTTTGAAATATTATTTCAAAGTCAACTTTCATTTTTTTAACGGAATCATACGATTTCCTCACATGGCAAAGAAAAAGTAAATTTTAATAATAAAAATCGTTTTTTTCTTATTTCTCTCCTGCAATCAGGCATCGATCTTTTAAACTGTAAGAATAACCAACTTTTTTTCTTAATCCAATTATTTCATTTCCCGCGATTGTAAGACTTCTCGCATGATCGCGAAGATCGTGAAAGTTGGCGTTAATTGGAAAAAATAATTGTGAAAGACGCAATCCCACCGTTTTATCGCGCCCAGACTTTTCTCACTCTCCTCGGCAAGTGTGCCGTTACAATTTCGTCGATGAGCGAGCCGCCTCGCGCTCGTAAGGATTTCTCCCGCTCGTCGTCATCTCTGCACCTGCATTTCGTATCTGCGTCACATATGCATACAATAGCAGCCCTCGCGTTTACGACTCGGCATGCATCATCGTCGCCGCAATCCGTCCGCGCGGACTCCGGTGAAAATTAGATTTCCGTGTCTCTCGGTGACACGGTATGGTATGTGAGGCTTGTGTCCCGAATCGCGCTCGCTCGGAAGCCGGCTCGGACAAGAGAAATGGAACGAGTGACCGATGCGGCGGTTCGAACGAAGAAGGAAGAAGAAAAGAAAGAAAGAAATATCGACGAGGCGTGAAGTGGGAGTGCAAATGACCCCCGTAGGTATGCCCATATCCGATCGGAATCGCGCATGAGCCCGGCGCACGCGATTGCAACGCCAAGCTGTCAATATTTCACGCTAGCTGAAACTGATCACGTACGAGAGGACAACGTTCTCTCTCTCTCTCTCTCTCTCTCCATGTATCGCGATCGCATATCCTCACACCGGCAATTCCCCCGCTATAATTCAGAAGTCCGATTCTCGCTCGCATTTCGTCGAATCTCGCCGTCGGTTCGTCGTTGTCGACAGCAAAATCTCAGGTTCTCATTGAAAGGAAAGGGAACAGGAAAGAAGAAAAGAGGAAAAGGAAACGACTCACGGTGGAATAATCACGCTCTCTTTTCACTTTCGCAAATAGTTTATTAAATGTAAAAAGTTGTAATTATATTTAAAAGACGTACGATCTCGTTCAATAATTTATATTTATTATAATCGTGATATTTATTCATTTATAACGTAACTTCTATAATTTAATAAATTACATACGTGTAGGCACTAATCTAGCAGTCGTAGGTGGGTCCAATGGCCTCGAGAAGGTCTCCGCAGTGTATGGCTGTCGGATACTCGCTGATCCTTCCGACGTTCTCGCATCGTCAGCTCGGCAGAGAGAGTCGAGCGAAGAAAAGTCGCGTTTAATTGCTGACGGTCGTCGGCACGTATGCAGAATACGCCAGTTTCTGGGCGTCGGCCTCCTGCGGCAAGCTCCTGCGGTAGGTTCCTTGGATCGGGGACCCGTTGGACCAGCCCGCGGAGCCGTTGTCGTAATAGCCGTACTGTGGAGACTTGACCATATTGTTGTTGTAGAAGAGCTTGTACAACAGCATGGAGCCGATGGCCAGCAGGGCGATCTTGGCGGTCATGAACGCCTTCATGGCCATCACGCTAATGAAGCCGACGATCGGTAACACCGTCACAGCCTTGATTCCGGCGATCAATGGGATGAGCGTCTTCTTGAGCTTGAGGCGTCCTAATTCGAAGAAATTGTGAGAAAAAATCTCATGTAACCGAGCTGCCAAATCGATGTAGACATTATTAGTTATATGAGAGCAGAAATCAAGTCAACTGTTAAGGAAACTAACGTTTCTAAAATAATCGATTCTAAGATGAATGATATCTGAGATAAACGATAATTGTGATTCTGACACTCATTAATGTGAAAAATCTGGAGGAATCGACTATTTACTTCTGGAAAAATGAATTAGATTAGCGCAATTATTTAGGTTTGCGGAAAATATGAAAATTAAAGAATTAATTTATGAAAATTAAATATTATTTAAAGGAAGATGTGTATGTACTCGGCTGAAAATTATTTTCATCGAAAAATGTATATTTAGATGTTTATTGATATTTTTATTTATATTATATTTATATTCATATGAATAATGAAAATATCGTTTAAAGAACAATGTGCGTACCCGATTGAAAATTTTTATTTCCTTTTGAAAAAATTTATGTTTAGATTTTCATTCGTATCTTTATTTACATTTATTTACACTTATACATTATATTTATATATGGAAAATTTATATTTACATGTCCTAATATACATAAGACAGAGTAAAAGAGTACTTATCGAAGCTCTCGCGTTTTCTGTTTATTTAACATATTTAGGAAGGAAAGCGAATTGCACTGGAGGAACGAGATTATCGGGAACAGGTCTGACGACGCACATATAGATATCGCGAAGGTGAAAGGCACGCCGAGGCGCTTATTCGTTTATACTCATGACGTCGCGAGTCCGTGACGTTAATCGTCTAGACATAATAAAGGAAAGGTGGACGCTCGATTGTGTAATCGAAATATTATTCAACGGAGTGGCGAGAAAGAAAGAGAGAGAAAGAGTACTCACCTTCTTCCAGGGCGCGTGATATCGGCACATCATGCATGGTGAGTTTCAGACTGTGACTCTTTAAGAAAGAGATTATTGAAGTATACAACATTTTCCCAAGTTTGATCACTCTTTCGTTATCGTCTTGCGGCAGTTCACTCAATATCTCATGTTCGGACTTCTGCAGAATCCTCGCTGTGCGCTCCACTAACGATCAATTTTTTTAAACGATTACGATCGGTGTTAGCAAGAAGAAGATAATCGATTATCACATGGGAAAAAATGCTCTTGAATCGATAAAACGTCCAATAAAAGCGTAATTGGAGTAAATTTTCTCGGTTCAATGGCAAATATAAAAAAAACCAGTATGTTATGTGTATTGCTTCAGTAATTAAAATATTAGTTTCAATGATATCGTTATTGAATTAAGAAGATTTACTCCAATTACACGTGCTGTTAGAAATTCGGTTGATTCGAACAGAATTTGTTCCGCACACACAAGAGGACAACTCGGTTTCGTGAACAAGAATCGACGATAGATATACGAAGTTATTTCTCTGTTTCTTCTTAAAAAATTAATAATATGCAATCTGCTTGCATATTTTTCGAAAGTACTAAATTTAACCAACTTACTTTAACTTGTTTAAGTCTACGTGTTTCACAGAAATTTGGTGTAATATTAATAAATATGTTCTCAAACTAGGCACTAATTGATCAAATTGACCTAAGCGGAAAATTAAAATCCCACAGTGGTCGAATCTTGAATTATTGCACATATATTATATATAATTATTGTACATAGAAACCTTCTCTTAAAGCTTACAAAATATCTTACTTCCGTGTAATCCCAATACACTATTTTCCCTTGCATACCTTAAATTACGAAATAAGAAACAATGTTAATAGCTCACTCGGTGCCTCCCGTATGAAGGTGACGCCATCGATGATCTTGATGTCGCCCGATCGGGCCGCTTTGTCGAGGGCAACATAGGTCTTCACCAAGAAACAGCTGTAGATATGGTTGTCCGTCGTCGAGCAATCAAATCCCTCCAGCGGATGCAGGGAACCCAGCATGGGTTCGGCCGCGACGCACGCGGCCAGGAATATCGACATTAGCAATTTGTGCATCCTCGTCGTCTAAGTCTCACACTCTTCTGGTCGTCGCACGACGTAACACCGAGACAAGCGGCGGCGGGAAGACAGAGAGAGAGAGAGAGAGAGCACGATGTGTGCGGACCACTCTCCGGAAAATTTTCGGAACCAAGTGTGACCTGGCCCTGCGTCGTCTCAATCTTTATAGGTGTGCACCGCAGCGTAGGACCCTCCTCGAATATCCCCACTCCCCGACCGCTTCGTCTGTGACGTCTGACGACGACACAGGCATGATGACGATGATGACGAGGGCGAGAACGAACGAAGTGCGACGAGACAAGCTGCAGACTCATCGTCCCAGGCAGGCACCACCTCCTCTTGGAGGAACGCTGCTCGGTGATTTTTTTAAACAAACTCGCAGTCACCCAGAAAGACGTGCGTCGCTGGTTGGGCGGATCTAGAAGTCACTTTGTCTAAACTGGCTGGGAGAAACGTGTTTCACGTGGGCCATATAGTATTTGGGTCAGCGCGGGTAATACTTGTCAGTGACTCGAAGGGATCACTTACCCGCGTAGGGTGAAGGACCTTGAAGTTCGTACTCGGGGAAACTCGGAGTCGATCGATCTAGGATCGTAACTCAGGCTTGACATGTTCGCCGTTAGGGTTTATTTAGAAGACTCTCTTCACCATCTCTTGTATTCTGTTTACTTATTTTGGTTTGTAGTATCTGTGTAGCTTGATAACGTAGAGATGAAACGAATTTTATTGCTGTCACACATATGTGACGCTGAACTCTTGCGAGAGATCGTGTAAAGATTTGGCGATATTTTACGCATTCTCCCTTTTCCCTTCTTGGCGGAGCATCTTTTAAACATAAAATAGTTAAATATCATTAAAAATACAATCAATACGTAAAAATGTGAAAAGTACAGAAACATACGGAATAATCCGGCGCCATGATTATTTCTTTAGTAGCGTTCATTCGAATATATTTATTACACAGAGAAAAAGATTTCTTTAGATTTAATGAAAGTTCTTTAACTGAAACAAATTTATATTTTGAAACAGAGCAAGTGAATGAACGTTTGATTCAACAAACAGAATTGTTTGGTTTCTCAAACAATAAATATCTTTACATTAAATAACATATTTTCATCCAAACATTACAATGGTTGTCACAAACAGTAAATTATTTGAAAGAAGTAACACGACGTTAGAAAACTATTAAAGAATTTCTTTGCTTCAATGGAACAATATGTAATATATAATAAAATGAATTGTTTTAATCAAAAACGAAATATTATTTCCTCTCATGGTTTATTTTAGTGAAACATTTTCATTCAAACGAAATGATATTTGATGTTAAATTATGTTGCTTATATTAAACATACCCAAGTCAAATAAACAGGTATACTAAATTCAAAGAACCTTTTTCTCCGTGTGTGTACGTATAATATATTCACAAATATATCCCTAACACGAGCAGTCCCAGCCAAAAGTGTTATACGTCAAAGAGCGATAAACAATTATTTCTTTATGAGCTTTAAATATTATATAAATTTTATTGTGTAATATCTTTTTCGCTATAGTGTCAAAATTGCATATCATAAATCATCTTTGTAAACGTTTAGCACAGATTTGTCAAGCATTTTCATGTTGTGTTACCTTTCTAACAGTATTGTCACTGACCAACTAATTTACGAAGTGAATATAGTTAAATAGATTGCAACAAAATTTTACTTAAAAGTGTCTCGCAACGCACCCGTATCCTGTAAGAAAATGTATCTCCAGAAAGTTATTAGTTATTCATACAGCATTTTAATTATTACGAATTCCTAATCATTATTTTCCACGAGAAATATTGATCAATAAAAGAAACAAATCCTCTTACTGAATACAAGATGTATTTGCGAAACCAACTGAAGTAAAGGTGTTACAACCTTTGAGCACTTAACTGCATTTGACGAAATCGACGTGTCGATCGACACGAGGTGGACAACCGAATGAATAATACGCTCCAAGGACTTGACTCCGACAATCATGTCCTTCCTTTAAGAACTGCAGGACTAACAACACGTTTCATGTCGTGTATGCCCGTACACCACGCTGTCGTGGACACCGGCACTTTCTAATTTTTCCAACGCGCGCCGCGTCGTCGAAAGATTGTTGTTTAGAAAACCGAGAATAACGACGGTAGGCACGTGCATACATTTCGCGCCTCGTCGCCGCCACCACGGCCATTCACGGCCGCATATGCTTCACGGTCGCGGATGTACGGCTTTTCTTACGGGCTTCTCTCAGCCTGCGCGTGCATCTAGGCGACACATAATGCGGACGCGATTCCCGGTAAAAATTTTTTTTCGAGAACTATACAAAACCCGAAGCGGGCTCGTTTGAATGTTGATATTCTTTGCTTGGGACTTTTCCACTGTCCAAATGTCCAATCTTAAATACAGAGCGATGCGCGTCCGAATTTTGTCGATATTAGTATAGAGATCCTTAAAGATCCGACGTACGGACCTTTCTTAGGATAATACAGGTTTTATAGTCGAACCTCCTGAGTAGAACAGGCCGATGCATTCCTGATGCGACCACGTGCACCATGTTGCTTACCTTGACCCAGACACACGCTGATCGGTGGACACGTGAATCCATGTGATTCTAGCTCCAGCGGATTATTCGATAATAATCAAAATTTATGAAACGGCTTCGTTGCTCATTAATGTTCGCGTTTATTCACGATTTTTTTAATTTCGTCGAGATAAATGAATTCGTACACCTTGTTCTTTATTTAATCGCTCGATCGTTCACTGAGAAAAGAAAATATTTAGAAAATAAAAAATGTTCATTCGGATACTATTAATGTATCTACATAAGTTTATATCTTTATAATAAATATAAATAATTGCTTTCATAAAATTGTACGTCCTTAAGAAAATGTAAATTTTCTCACTTGAGAAACTATAGTATACAGGATATTTCAGAAAAGATGGACTGGCTATACATAGGGTGAATCACTTAACTTTAGAAAGCTAAATATATAAAAAAATAAAGCAAAATAAAAGGAAATATTCCGAACAAAAGTTGTAGAGTTTGAAAGAGGATATAAGTTGGTGACCTTATATAAGTTTTTAAAGTTAAGTGAAGTAAAGTTAAATGATTCATTCTGTACAATCATGTAGGATATATCAAAGCAAACAAAAAAAATGCATACAAACATAGTTCTTAAAACGCTCATTTGCTGAGTAATGCGAAGATTACGAGAAGGATTTTTATATTATTATAGTAGTTTTAAGGTTAGTTTTAAGGTTATTGGATAATATCCTACTCGAGCACTTTAAGAGCACGTAGGTAGTTTATATATGGTGCTCTTTCACATTTCAATCAGAAACAATTTTCATACAGAACTTATGCTGTGTGATGTTTCGGTCGTGGTTATCTTCAGTCATGGCCGAGAGGATACGCTTTATTCAAAAATTGTCTTGCACCTTGACTAAAATGTGAAGAGCACCGTTGTGCATAAAACACATAAATACTCTTAAACTGGTCGAGTAAAATATTATCTTAAAACCAACGCCTACTATAATAACGCAAAAATTCTTCTCGTAATCTTCACATAGTTTTAACTCTTCAACTGAGGCGTTTTAGACACTATGTTTATACCTTTTCTTTAACTTTTTCGTTTACATTGATATATCCTATATGGCCACATGTAGCCTGGCTACATGTAGCCAGCCTACCTATTTTAAAACACCTTGTGTAAAAATATGTATATTATTACGATATATATTATTATTATTATTAAATTAATTTTATTATTATTACAAAATATCTTATTAATAACTACCAAATAAATATCTTTTATTTTTTTAATATTTTCCTCTCAATGTATCAACAGAGAAAAGAATTTCTGTGAAAATGTAGCACAACGAGATTTAAATAGGATGTCTACGGAGAAATGAATCGTATCCGGTTTTGTATTAAAAATATTGCGCAATTGTATGACGACGAAGAGAGGGAAAAACTTTCACCATATGAGGAACTATTTAGTTAACTCACGACGGTCGATTCGCACTTTTCCTGAACGCGACGTCATCCGCTGACTCAATAGACAGCGCATTAAAAATCAGTGTACACGAAATTAAGAGAAATCGATGTCACAGCGAGAAACAATAATCCGCGATAAAGGCGACGTCGACATCGCTTCTGAAACGGCGACCACTTAGAAAGGTAACAACAGATAAGTTATTCGCGGGAGGTATTCCATTGTACTGCGCGCGGATCTCTTTAAATATTTAACAGGTACGACGGGACCTCGCGTCATCTTCGCTTAACGGTATTCGGCTTGGCAGAAACGGAGACAGTTTTGCGATTGATTTTCTGGGTTACGAGTACCGCGTCGGCGGCAGTTACTTCCTGCAATGAATATGACGATCCTAACTTATGACGAATCCTTCGTTGCCATAGAAGCATACGTTTCCCTTCTAGAAAGCGAATTATTTCGGTAACTTTATTTATTCGCTGCAACGGTACAAGAAATCTTCTACCAATTGATTGATCGTTTCTATGTGTAGTTATAGTATGCTATGTATAGTTGTTAATATTTAAATATGATTCTATATTTTATGTTATGTACGTAAAAATAAATTGTATAATTTTATATATTGCATATTTTTAATATATATATATATATATATATATGTGTGTGTGTGTGTGTGTGTGTGTGTGTGTATGTGTGTATTTATATTTTATGTACTTTATGTTTAGATAAATTGAGCGATCATATAACGGCATAGAAATATTTGAAGGATATTTTCAGGGCATGGAGATTATAAAGGGCCGAGGGTCGACGACCGGTCCTATATTTGGGTCAGTAGCGCTCAGTTTTTTATCCCTATTTCTTGTTCTCTCTCGGTCTTCACACGTGACGTAATATCCTTTTTCGCTTTCTCTTACGATCTTCTATCGCACCCAGTGCATCGTTTATATGCACGTGCACGCGTGTCCTATTATCCGGATCTAGTTTACAAATTAATAAATACTTAAGTAATTCAACAAATTATGTGCGTGTATTTGAACAAAAAGAATTATAAAATAAAATGTAAAACAATAAATTAGTTAATAAGTGATTTTCATTTAATAATCGCGCAGAGTAATTTATTTTCGTTCGGAATTGACAGTCGATAATGAGGTTTGTATTTCAATTGCGGAGTTCAATCGCCAAATTCACTACTCGTGCGATTACGAGAATAAAATCTTTATTGAACGTGTATTTACATAAGCAAAAATATAATTCAGCTCGTAGAAAGGGACATGTCGCTTTTGCAAGCTAGTTCATCGCATTTTGTAATTGCGAAAGACTTTCTCTCTTCTTTACATCACACCAGAGAAATGACCGGGATGCGGGATGAATCATCTTAAAAAACAATCTCATTTCTTTCATCTCGTATTTGCTATAACCCAGACATAATAATGAGCGGTCAAATATAATCGTTGCTTTGTCATGTTAACAAGCCTGCGCATCCTTTCATGGTTCTTCCCGAATGTCTACTGGTTTATCGTCGTGTGTACCAGAGCAGTTAACGACTCCGTCGTAAAACGCTACTTCGTTGACATTAATCTCGAGGGAACTTTTACATTCGGTATGTGACATCGTTTTATAATAAGAGAATTTTTTTTATATTTATCATATTTATATTCTGCGATCTTATCGAATAATGCTATCACACCTACCTACGTGTGTGATATAAAGTGTAAATTTATTAATAAACAGAATAAATATAAATAATATAAATGAATACCGCAAATAATTAAATGTTATTCTTAATTCGACGTTATGTGTTAATCTTCTTATCGCTTATCTTTATGTTAAACTGGAACGTTCTCTCTCTCTCTCTCTCTCTCTCTCCAGCGCAACGAATATTAATGTACGAATAAGAACAATTTTAAGGAACCACATTATGAAGGAAAAAAGAAAAGTTCTAAAGATACTAATTCCTCTTTCACTTCTTTCTACGTCGTTCCTTGTAGTATCTGTAAGGCTCCAATTCCTGCTCGTCGCTCATGAAATCGAAAACGTCCTGCCGTCTGTGCTTGTTATACTCGTCGTGGTGACTCTCCTTCTTGGCAACGTTCTTCAGCCCAACTATGGCCGCCAATATCAAACTCATCAGGCTCAATACGACCGCTTTCCCGCTCAAAACAGCCAATGCCTTCAATGCGATCGGCAGCAGAATCGACTTTATCAGTACGAATCCGACGATTAAGGGCAGAACGTATTTGTTCAGCTTGAGTTTCTTCTTACGCTCTGCAAATGATATAAACATGAAGAGCAACGGTTAATTATACGAATTTCAATCAGAAGAAATTACGACGGAAAATCTACATAAATGTGTACACACACACGCACACATACACACATACACAAAGCATTCCATATGCATCTTTTACATTTTTTACGATGGAAATGTTTAAGGAGATTCGAACATTTAACGAAATATAAGATAAATCTGTGATATAAGTATACCTATATGTAATACAAAAGTTAATTGAACTAACAAATTGTAACAGAAATTTCAATAATCTTTACCGTGTTATTTCCGAAATAATTATATTAAATTATATTATTTATAAACTTATATGTGTGCAAGCATAGAGACTTCATAATATACAAAATTTCTTCTAATTTAACAAATTTGTATATAAAATAAAAGTTGAAAAAACTACTGTAATATTAAGAACGAATTTACAGATATTATAGACAAATTTCAGAATTATCGACTATTTCGTTTTAAAAATACAGTGAAGAAAATTTATAATGTATAGTAGCATTTAAGATAAACACACACACATATATATATATATATACACCCATGTATATTTCTTTTTATTATTTGTGTATCTCTATTAGATCAACTGATGTATAAATATAGCATTAATAAGAAAAATAAAAAGTGACAATATTTTCTCTATAACATTGTGTATATATATTTCCCTCAACTTCGTTTCAGATTAACGTTTATTATTTGGTTAATGAAATAAATGTATAAAAACGAAATTTTTTGTTTGATAAATAGTAAATTTATGAGAAGCACCCTTGATGCGCCCTTGATGAAAATACAGTATACTTAGTGCTAGAATTTCCTTCTCCTCCTATTGCCTGTGGCCAGGTGTGATGGGTGACCTCTCTTTCGCACATATCTATGCTGCGCACGCAGGTTATACACAGGTACATAGGACCTGCAGTTTAACGCCGATTCCGAACGGCAATTTGAACAGAGAGAGGGTTTTTTCTTGGCAAGTATTGTTCCCGTTAGTTTGCCGTTGCCTTCCGAGAGGAGACACAAGCGTGTGAGAAAATTTTCGGCTCAGCCAGGAAACGAACCCGGGAATACGAACGAATGAACTCAGGCAAAGCGGAGGCAGCAGCGCTCTGTCTGCTACGCCACGCTCGCGCTCCGAATCTCCTTAAGACGATGAAAATCGACGAACGAGTTACTTTGTTTCCTTTGCGACAAGATGGACGACAAGAGTAAATTGATAAAGCGTGGAATACTTTCTCTCGGCCGATGTGTCGCGCACCACATATCGCCTGCCTAACGTTAACTACCGCGCATACCAGTTTAAAAGATTATATTAGGTTAAAGTAATATCGCGCGCTTGCGAAAACAGGATGCAGGATGCACGTTATGCGCAGGCCTCATCGAAGCCCGCTTTTCTTATTAGGCACAATTGCCGCTCGCGGGAGCTAATAAAATGAACTAGAGTAGAAAGCACTTATATGTTTTTGTACCAGGAGGCCACTTGCGCGGCAAGCCGAAAAGCAAGCCTTGCTGCATAATGAACGACGCTCGCAATTATACGCTCCTTTAACGCCGTTTGATTAGCATGCGATCCTCGCGATTCACGACTTCGTTCCGCAATCGCTCGTTCGAGATCCTGCGACGAAGTGTACAGTCCAGTCACAAAAGAAGATCGGAATTGCTTTTTATATGCTTCCGAACGCTCTTCCCGTATCCAGTAAGAGAATTAATTTTTTTAGTCCTTCTCAGGACATATATGTTCCTATTGAATACGGGATGCGTTGCGAAACTCATCGAAAAAAGAACCTTTTCGTGAGTGACTACGCACGTACGAGCGCTCTCGAAATAATGCGATGATAACAGATTCGTCGACTCGTGTCTTCTCCTACATTGTTAAATTAATTTCGTCGTGAACAATTTACGTTCGCCGTTGGCAAGAAAGGCGTGTCATCGGATCGTGAGTGACCGTTTCGCGAACACGGTGCTTCGTCTTCGACGATTTGAGATGCTTGTATACAAAAAAAAAGATCGGTTAAATTAACGCGACAATGAGCGAACGAAACGCGTTTTATTTGAAGGAAACGGAATTTCTGATTCTTATGTGTCAAATTCGATTATGAGAATCAGGAATTCTGTTCCCTTCGATCAAAAGATGGCCCGGTTCGTTCATCGTCACATTAATTCAACCAATTCTTTTCCTCCTTATAAAGATTTCACGAATTAAAAGCTTTTTAAGGAATCTTTGTGAAAGATTTCATTACCTCCAGATTGTGTAAATAAATCGAGTATAAATTGTCGTCGCACATCCGGGTATCATTCAAGACCGGGCAAATTTAATGATCTCCAATGCGTCGATTTTACGGAAGAACGCTCGCCGGATCACGTTTCGTCGACTGCTTATTGTCTCCGTTGTAAATCGTACGAAGATAAAAGGAATCCTAGCCTCTCTGCCTCTCTTCCTTTCATTAAGCGACAACGAAAGAGCCCTGCGCTAAGCCTTTAATATTTACTGTGTACCTTCCGGATTGTCGTGGGATTTGGAGGCGGGCAGAAGTATATCGACGACGTCCAGGAAGCCTTCTCCGATCAGGTCGAGGGCATCCGGCGAGCCGTCGTCGCGCCTCGTCTCTCGGGCGAGCGTGCTCGTCGCTTGCGGTCCCACCTGCGCTGCGACGAGCAGGGGTAGCAGGAGCAGCACGTACGGCGGTAACATCTCTTTAGCATCTACGGTCCCTTCGTCGCTCCTCTTACCTTTACGCGTTTCTCTCTTCTCCCTCTCTCCGCAGCTTCACGCAGCACACACCCTCTCGCGATCTCTCGCCCTCTCGGTGCCGCGGTCGAACCCCGAGATGCACCACCGGCCACGCCGCCAATAATATGTCAACTGGCATTCGTGCTAGCCCGGGCCATTAGTTTATATAGCGGGATACCGCGAAAAGACCAGAGGAGGAGACCGCCATCTAACTTGGTACTGACGCGTGACGAAGGATCCAACGTCCACTCCCGTACCTCCCAAGCCCGGTCTGCCGCGATCATTGGACGCCGCGGACTCGCGGCTCTTGTCGGTAGAGAGAAGAGCCGGGCGTCTCTCTCCCCCGGCGGATTATTTCGACCGGGGTAAGTGGATCGCCGCCTCCCCTCCCTCCCTCGCCGTCATTGTCCTGTGTCTATCGGTCCGTGAGAGTGTGCGCGGCGTCTATTATCAATCGAGGTTCGTTTCACACCCGAGTAGCTACGGGGACAGCCACGTCGACCTACGGCCCGCTCGCGGAACACTAAAAGCTGCCAAGGTAACGACGAATCGAAGCCGCCGAGGGCGAGTTCGCAGAGGTGTCGACGATCGTCGCGCGTCACGTGATCTCGCAGCGACGACCGAGGTGAAATTCAGATTCTCAACTCGGGGAGGAGGGGCGCAGGTTAATCGCGCTCCGGGTTTTATCGCTGCCGGAATCGCGCACGGGGATGCGTACTTTCCAGTCCGTGAAAGAAGCGTTCTTCCTGAACTTTCGCATGCGCGCGTTCCGATCGCCATCGGTGAAATTAGCGGCCCGCCGGGGGTTTATTATTTGATACCGTTACGCGTGTTACAACGCGAGGCGTCTCTCTCTCCTTCTCTCTCTCTCTCTCTCTCTCTCTATCCCCCTTTCTCTCTTTCTCTCTCTAGTACGAGGAAGTTTACTTGATCCAAACGCGTCGTAGCTACTTTGTCGCTAATGACGGGCTCCTCCTTTGTAAATGTCTACCATTCATCAGAATTAGGATCACGGCTAAGAACGACGATAACGGTAATAAAAAAAAGTTTCACCTGAACGAGCCAGCGGAACAATGTTATTATGTCGGTGAAATTCGCGGTGATTACCGCGGACTGGGTTCGCCGAGTCGGCCAATGTCAAGCAACAAGCGGACGAGAGATCGCCCCTCGCGAATTTCGTTGCGCGACGGGCTGCCGGGAAGGATCGATCGATAGATGAGATGTAGTAGGGAAGGAGAGAAAAGAAAAAAAGAAACGGTCGCGCGCGACGACGACAGTGATTTAGCAGGCGTAGCGAGGAGAGTCAACAACGTATATACGTATATCCCCTTCATTTCGCCTTCCGGCGTCCCCTCGATATTTATCGCGGCCATAGTCATTTGGCAGATTCGAGCCCGTGGAGGAAACAGTGAAATTACGCCGCTGCCCTTCCTGGAATATAAAGTAATGGGTCTAGGTGGCACATGAATAAAACTACTGTACCGATATGTGGGTTGCCGGCTTCACACACGAGGAACTCGACTAATAGACCGGCATAGATTGTCTTTGAACGACGGTCCCAAGGACGACGGCGGCCGCTCGCAATTAAATGGGCGACCGATAAAAGATAATGCGGCGTTGAAGTGAGGTATTGTCATTTGAAACGTCGTTTGGTACAAGTGGTTTTTAGAAATCTTTCGGGAAGAAACCAATGTTGAACCAATGTAATTTCGTTGGTAATTTCATTGGCTCAACATTGACCATTATAAATGACTTTGTGCAACGTTGGAAGAAAGTTTTGCTTGCATGCTCGCCACGAGTCCAGATGTTGCACACATAGAAAAATATACACTGCATTAAAATAAACTATATTACGTGTTTCAAGTATTTTATAAGTTTATCTGCAAATATATTATAAGTTCAATTATAAGCATCAATATGTTATACCGTCAAAAATAGATAAAAAAACAGTGTTTTTAAATAGATATCTTCATTCATTCGAAGTACTGTCACAGTGAAACATTTTAATGCGCTTATTTTGTTTCTTTAATTTTTTTGGGTTTCTTTTCATTTTTTTTTTTGGAGTAGCGAGTAAATCTACATATACAATATCCCCAAATAATAACAAATCATAGAGCAGTCGATAATATGCTATATTTTGTTAATAATAGCAATTTTTAATTGGTCACATAAACGATCCCAGGTGATCGTTTACGTAAAAAAACGTGACTATTGCCGGATTAAAAAAAGGAAACTGAGTAATCGCTTTTCTTAATAATAGAATGACATTTTTCTCTGTGCATGTTTCTGAAATCAAAACGACGAATAAATGATTCAACTATAAATTTGTAACTATCTGTTATGATGGAGAGTAAAAATTGATTTTTTTACAAAATAACACGACTTAAAAAAGAAAAATCGATTTTTGGCTAGATCTTTTTCAGTTTTGGTAAAAAAATCGAATTATTAAAGATATTGACTTCATTGCGATATAAACGATAGCTACAAGTTTATTCATTTTAATCAAGTTTAATAAGTTTCTTTCGTCGTTTTGTTCTCCAAAACCTGCAACGTCTAGAACCATGGCAACCAACCACTTTCACGTTTAACACTAACAAAATTATTTATAACTTTATTAATATTGAAGACAATAATGCGTAGATATAATTGTATATATGCAGAGAAAATAGTTTTCTTGGATTTAGTATATTTGATTTGGGTTTGTTTAGTATAAACAATATAATTTAACATCAAATATTTTATTTTTATGAAAATATTTCATTAGAGCAAACAGTGTTGTTTGATGGAAAAAAAACATTATTTAGATGAAATAATATTTTAGTTTTCTATAAAAAAAAATTTATTTCATTACATATTAAATATTGTTTCATAGAAACGAAGAAGTTCTTTAATATTTTTCTAACATAGTTACTTCTTTCGAATAATTTATTACTTGTGACAACATGTAATGTCTGGGTGAAAATATAAAAGAAATATTTTGTGTAAAGATATGTATTGTTTGAGAAACCAAACAATCCAGTTTGTTGAATCAAACATCCGTTTATTTGTTCCATTCCGAAAGTCAAATTTGTTTCAATTAAAGAAATTTCATTAAATCCAAAGGAACCTTCTCTGTGGGCTCAAAGCAAAATTAAACTTCAACATCGCATGTCTTACGGCTTCTTCAAGAACAGTTCCGAAAAAATTACTTAATTAATCAAGCGAAACGTCCCAAACGAGAATATCCCCTTAACATTATTCCGCGACCGAGAAATAACGGCCGAGCCGCATCATATACGAATGAAAAACGAGACTGGTGTTCGCCCGAAGACAGACAGGAAGAAAGAAAAAGAAAATGAGAAGAAACAAGAAATAGATGGAAAAGAAGAGAGCAAAAACGACCCCGGTAGCAGCGCAGAATCAGTGCGTGCAGATTTCCTCTGCGAATGCGTCAACGTATGGGTTTATCGTTCGTGAAATTGGCCCGCGATGCCGCATCGCCGTCGGGACGAAGAAAGTCGTCGGAGAGAGTATCGCGCACGTGATAACGACCGTTAAATATCGGTTTATTCGATGGACGGTGCGTGTGATCGCGCCTCGTGATTTTCAGAGCAGATAAGATCATAGCGAGCGAGCGCGCGCGCCGATTGCTGGAAATTGCAGCGCCGCGCGCCCGTAAATCATCCCGATAACAAACTGTGTGTTTCTGTTGTATGAACGCTCGTTTGAGCACGGCCGTTTGCCACACCGTGTTGCATCGATCTCGCCGAAGTATTCAGCACGTATTTCGAGAACGCCACCTTAATTATGCGGATTTGTTATTGTTTTCACAACAGCCGTTTTCACCGGCGAGCGTATTTTTTCTCCTCTTTTCTTTCCTTCTCTCCCACCCTCCCTCTCTCTCTCTCTCTCTCTCTTTTGCATAGTACTCAGTACAGTGCTACGCGCGAAAGCCATTAGCAGCCGTTTGACCGGCGCAAATTTATTTCTCCATGAATCTGTCGCGTCAGCGCTTCGCGCGAGCGGATAATCGCCCCGTACGTACGATCATGCGCGATAACGAATCGTAATCGTCCGCTCGGTTGCAATCTGTCGCTTTTGCACTCGGATCTCCCGACGTTGTCTCCGGCTTTGTAGATCGATATCGATCGGCGGCGTCCTGAATTCGGTTCCCTCTCGGAAGAGAGATGACTCGTTATAGATAGCGATTAACGCCGGCCGACGTTAATGGCTCTTATTATACGCTTTGAAAACGATTTTCTCGCAGACGCACTCATCGAGATAACGCGAATGGAAAGTGACCCGGGTTCGTCGTAAACAATTTCGAACTATATACCTAAATACCTAGATACGCAAACTGTGGTTAATCGCAACCGGAGGAAAATCCGCTGCGCAGGTTGCAAGGATCATTTGAAGCTGCAACCGCCGGCGGATGGATTATTAGTGGCCCGTATGTTTGCCGGGCGTGACTAAAAAAAAATGGATCCCGAGGAGATCATCAGCAACCGACGTCTTCGTCGTCGTCGTCGGTTGCTCCGATCTTGTGTTACGTGCTTCACACACCCGCAGATTTCTAATTTCTTCTCCCGCGGGTACATCGGTGGAGAATTTATCGCCGACTGTTACGGCGAAATGCAACATTCGATCGCGCATTCAGGCGGAACTCGCGCGTCCCGAGTGCGTTCAGATGGCTCGGATAAATATGTAGCAGAAAACATGATGTGGTGCAGTCTGCAATGCTCCGCTGCGAGAGCGGGATGCTCCGACGTGGAAGAGGGAAAGAAAAAAAAAGCGACTAATCGATATTTTTGAGGCAGTTTTTCTCGACGGCGAATCGACGAGCAGGCGGAGTGAAGTGAAACCGGATGGCGCTTTCTTTCTTTTCTCACCACCGGACGTGTCGATCGACGTCTCGATCGCGGGTAATTAAGAAGTCGATTAAAATCGGTCGTTTTCACGTCGAGGCATCTTTTTCTCTCGCTGTTTCGCTCTTATTCCCCCTCTTTTTCTCTCTTTCTCAGTGTGACGGAGTTACTCAGCAGGGCAGTGAACATTAAACGACGTTCCAATGACATAAGAAGACCGCACGCACGCATATGTAATCTCGTAAGATAATCGAGAAAAGAGTGGATCCGCAGCAGGAAATACGAGTCAACGCGTGTATGTATTACGGGCGATCGTAAATAATAAATGAATCATTTATATGACTGATTCTTATCAGCTTCTGCTTCAGTTGTGCGGTATATTTTCTTAGTCTGCTGTTTGTACGTAAGTTACTCAATTCATTATATCATTGATGAAAAAGAAAAGTTTTGTCTCTATAGACAAATAGCAAAAAGAATTAGCCGATATTTTTATCATTAATGTTTTGCCTGTAGATGCAAAGCTTTGATTCTTCAATCAATGTCTCTATAGACAAAATTATAATAAAAAATATAGGCAATCTTATTTTCTTTAGTCAAGATCATTCGAATATAATATAAATAAAATATAATAAGTGTGATAAATAAAAAATAAAAATAAAAAATAAGTATATATAATAATATAATGCATTCCTATATTTACAATATTATGTTTATATTTGGTTTTAATGTCGCGTTCGAAATTAACATTTATCACTTAGATAGTTAAATAAATTTATAGGAAAGTCTTTCTTCGGTAAATAATGAACTTATGAAAGGGCCTCTTAATCGCCACTGAAAATCTGGTACTTTGCGGGCGAACTATCTTAAGCATAGGAACATTAAAAATATAATTTGATTTATTAACCTCCTAATCTGGTATTCAATCAAACTGTGACTTGACTCTGGCGATAATAGTCGCACTCGGCACGAAGCAAGTCTCGGCGCACAGCCAATCAGCGTAAAAGAGGATTCACCTTATATTTACAATAAGAATGCGATTGTCAATTGGTATCATTTTGGGATAACCTACTGAGAAACCTGAGAAATTCATTTAGTTGAATCAACTCAATTCTCGTTTGGCTATACGATAAACACATTTTTTGGTTGTAATAACCAAAGTTTAGTTGTCTAAACCAAAGGTTTGGTTCTCTGAAGTTCCAGAAGTTGCAAACCTTCAGTTTAGACAACCGAACTGGTTATTACAAAATTTTCTTTGCCCATAGTCAAACGAGAATTTCATTGGATCAACTAAATGGGCTCTCAGTGTATATCTTGGAGCAGCTTTTGACGCTCGGAACCTGCTGCGTACCCCACAAAATCTGGGAAAAGTCTATTCGGATGCGAACTTATCTAGAATCCAATTCGTAAATCCAGGAGAAAACGATCGCCTCGTCTTCCCCACCAGACGGAGAAACGGGCAGGAAGGGGTCGCGGGGAATCTCCGTGACGAGCATGACCATACCTCCGCGTCGTCATCGGGCCGAATATCAGCTCGGTGTAAGCGGAAAGAAGCGCGTGTCGGTCGGCAGGAGGACGTCGTGGCTCGCGAGATGATTTCCGCCCCCTGATGCCGGCGCGCTCACCACCTTCCCCGACTCCCTTTCTCTTCGCGGGTTCACCCGCGGGAGCCTCCTTCTCGTCCGCACGGGCAGGCGGCGTGTACCGTTCCGCGGTGCAGCTTGACACATATATCGGTACTGACAATTTAGATCATAGTGTTTACCGCGCGCTCGCTCGCGCGTATATATCGCCGACTAGCCGGTCGGAGCTCATTTTTCACGGACTGCCGATTTTCCCGGCAACTGAAGCGTGCCCGACGTGCCGGGTATCCGCGCCGTCCGCTCGGGTTTGTCGTCGCGGAATCAACGGCGGATCGGTTAGTCCGCGGTTGCTCGTTGCACCGTTCGCTCCCTCTTGCCACTTCGTGCTCTTCGACACAGGACAGCGACGGATAGACACGCACACACACACACGGCCACGACGCATCTTTACCGATTTCGAGCTTCTTCCGTTCGGAAGCGAGGCTGACGACGACGAGGGCACGAGAGAGCGTAGGAGGTATGTCGGGGACAGCGCGGCGGCTGTGACCTCCCGGAGAGAGAAGAGAGCGCCCATCGACTCGCTCGGATGTCTCTCGGATTCGAGGAAACCCTCGCCGGGTGCTCCGTGACCCGGACGACCCGCCAGCGCGCCGAAAGCGGCTCGACGATGTAATAAAGCCCCAGCTGACAAAGCGAGAGACAGCGAGAGAGCAAGAGAGAGAGAGAGAGAGAGAGAGAGAGGACGTGGACGATAACCGCGAGAGCAGACTCCGCCAGTTGGATTTCCGGCGTGAGCCCGCTCTTCATGAACGTGAGGAAAGATGCTGTCGAGAGTTAGCCTGATCGCGATCCTGCTGACCTTCAATTGCTTGATCCGCGAAATGGAGTGCACGAGGTCGCCGGAGAAACGCCACGAGGAAGACGACGTCGTAGCAGGGAGGAGGGTCCTCAGGTACACGCCCGTTAATGTCACGTCGGAAAGCCCACTCCCTCTCACTTCTTCCTCTGACAACGACGCCAAAGACAAGCTGGCCCAGGTGGACCTTGAGGACGGGCATTCTAAGACTGAAGTGAAGGAACGAGGTAACTCAATCGGTTCCGGACCCCTTGCGCGATCCCCGCTCTCATCAACGTCGGGCAAGCCTCGACCTGAGTTTTTCAGCTAGTTCTCTCTCTCTTTCTCTCTCTCTCTCTCTCTCTCTCTCAACTCACTCACTCATTCTCTTCGGGCGAAATTTAAAAAATTTCAAGATCGTAAGACTTGAGCTCATGTTCAGATACTCTATAATCGATACGAGAGCCGTGTCTGAAAAGGAACTTGAGACGATCTTAACCCTTTCGGTACATTTGACGAGTGAGACTCGTCATCTGCTTACTTGGGCATAAAATGTATTACATTTACATATTAATCCATATAGCGACAAATTAAATCCGTCCCATGGGCATAAAAATCTTAAAATAATTCAGTACTCAAAGGGTTAATACAAATATAAGATGTCTATGAATATCGCCCTGAGTTTGTTTATATAAACTTTACAACTTTCACAAAAACTCACACGCTGAACATTTATATCATCTCGCAAAAATGACATACACTGAGAGAAAAATATATTTGATATTTATAGCTATAATATCGTAACTATATATTGTAGTAATTGAATTATAATCAGGAGAACCAAGTTTTACAATCTCTGTAATAATAATTAAAGATAGTACCATTCGACATATTCCCGAAGTTTCGAAACTTCGGTATAATTCGACATTTGATGACGGGGACGGAAAATTCGAAATCGAATTATTCGAGGTTTCGAACTCTATTCGAAGACTCGAAATATCGAAGCTGTTGATAGGATTTTGGAGAGCATAACAAAATGCTGCAGTTGCAAAGTGTTAGTTTAATCCAGATAATATTAAGATATTCTAAGACGTAGAAACGTTCTCTAGATAACAAGATATCTAAAGGACATCTTTGAGACATATTTTAGACATACGTGTTGTTTGGGTCAATATCTAGTTCGATTCTGAGATTGTATTTGTCTTTAAAACAAATTAAATGAAGGAGGCACAAACAGTAAACAACCAAACTTATTTTTATTTTAATAAATGCAAATTTTGCCATGATATATAACAGTATAATACAAGAAAAACATTCTTCAAGACAATAAATATTATTTACTACATCTACAGAACAAGCACACGTCTAGTTCGTGAAGTCTCAAATATTCAGACGTTCAAATATTCGAATACCCGAATGTTCGAATTTTCACAGTTAAAAATCTCATTATTCGAATATAATGTATCAAAAGTTCTGTAATTCGAAGCTTCGAAACTTGAACTATAATTTCTAAACCTAATAATAACTATACATATCGCCACTGCTATTTTTATGATTGAAACCAAAAAGGAGGATACAATTGAGGTCAAAAGTAACGAAAATTTCCCTCAGTGCAATAGGTAATACGTCGCCACAGCAGTCGCGTTTGGTCCTCCGGAAGGTCCGTTATTCTACGTAGTTGAAAACACTTGAACTCGTGTTAAGGTCTCGTCGTTGAAGTAGAAACGGGCACAGGACGCGTTTATTAACTCTGTCTCGTTTTCGGGCGCCGCCATGACGCTTCATAGTCGCGCGAAAAACCGTAGTCGCCGAGACGACATGTCGAATTGTCGTCGCGAGCACTCTTGATGAAGCCTTGATGAGCGATACCGTTGTATAACGGCGGACCCAGAGATCCGTCTTAGGTTCCTCGATATCGCGTTTGTCTCTCGCCGGCGAAACGCCGGTGAATGCGCGCCGTAAATACGCGCCGAATATTCACACGCTCCGGCGAGAGACGCGGTGAGTCTCGTCCCACGGTAGCCGTCAATGGAGCAACGGGCTGTTCGACCACCGCGCGTGCCCTCCAGCCAATTTGCATTCCATTCGCGCACTGATTACGTCGTCGTATCGCGTGCGATGCCGCATTAATATCGAGAATATCGAATAACTGCAGCGCGCCCCGCCTCAGTAGCTCCCTCTCCCCCCCGGTAGTGGAGATTGTTATTACCACTATTACTACTACCACTATTGCTGCTGTTAATACTATACTGGCGTTATTACGTTCCTACAATTTAATGAATTTAAACGGCCGGAGATGCGGTCGATCGATCGTGGATTTAATCGCGTATCGCTGCCTGTGATTTCCAGACCGACCGCGGAATCGCAAACGACGGATGGATCGCACGATGATGGCGTTGCTGATGGCGTATAAGCTGAAATTCATCGCCCTGATACCAACGATGATCGGGGGCCTGATACTCTTGAAGGGCACGACGCTGCTCGCCGGGTTCTTCTTCGCTCTCTTCGCCACCGTTCTCGGACTGAAGGTGCACTGACGACCAGGTCTGACGAGAGATTCGCGGAGGAGACAAAGAGAGAGGTTAAGAAAGGAGAAATAAAAAGAGAGAAAAAGGGGAAAGAGAGAGAGAGAGAGAGAGAGAAGAGGAACACATCGAGAGATGAACGAAGAAGTGAGAATGACGTGATGACTTTATTTCGTAATAATTTACAATCAGGTTAGACTAATGTAATTATGTCGTCCATGATCATCAAGCGAGTACGCAGCGAGCCTGTGTGACCACCGGGACCGAATTTATCATCGCGTCTCGGGTCGAAACGTACGCGCACGCATGTCGTCTCGCAACACGTATTTCGCGCAGTCGCATCGCCGTGCACGTCGCAGACGCTCTTCGTCAATGTCCTCCGGGGTCGCTGCTCAAGACGATGCACGACGGGTGCGACGATCCGCGTCTCCCGTATTACCACGATCATTACGAAGTGAACGTCACGTCTCGAAATGTAACATATGAGTTATACATATACGAAGTTATCATTAATAAATGTTGACAATGGAATCAGCAATCTCTTACTCGCTACCGTGTCTACCGTGTCTCGAATGGCGGTTTCTTCTTCTTCTTCTTCTTCTTCTTGCTTGCTTTCTTACTTCTTCCTTCTTTCTCTTTTTCATTCTTCCTTTTATTATTGTGTCATTTCGGCGTTGCCCCCCGTCGTCGTCCTTAATCTACTGAACACACGATCACACCATTCTGTGATACGCGAATGTTGATTCAGATGCACTCGCGTGGCGACCCGAGCCGAAATTTTGGCCCTATGTTAAACCTTTAATTCCACGACACGGCAAGAGCCGAGATAGCAAAATGTACAGTAAAAAGAAAGCATTCGGTATTTGTGTAAAATCGGTCCTTGTACAAACTTTTGTGTTAATTTTTTTGCGTATTTGTGTGTTAATTTAACATATGTATATATATTATTTAAATTTACATGTTTTGTTTTGAATCGGTATTCAATATATGTAAACGTTAAACTAATACATTTTACATACTTCATTGCCGACCTTAACGTATTAAAATTACGTTCATTTTTGACATAATATTTCTGTTACTTTTCAACACGTCCATTTTATGTTAAATTAACACACAAATTTGTATGAACCGTTTGAGACATGTGAAATACGCTAAATTCAACACCAAATCTTTACCGTGGGTCTAACTTTAATTCCAATAATACTCTTACTTCTCGGCCATAATTAATATCTTAAATTCCTGTTTCCGCCGTTTCAGCGTCGAAACAAGTCGTTTAATATATCCACGTGAATTCAATAATCGAAAAATCGGAAGCATTCGTAACTTCGAGATAGCGTGAAAACTCTTAATCTGTAGAATTAAAGGTTCAAGAGAGAATTTGACAAGCGTGCAGTACCGTCAGAGTAGATTTTTATTAGTCTATAGGTCATCTAGGAGCAAACTATCCTTAAGAGCGTCAAAGTGGCATCAGGATCCCGACTCAGAGAGCGCTCGCCCCACACGTTTCCTACATTCTGCGCGCCGTATGGTTAATTCGCGAGTCCCTACCATTGAAATGAATACTCCTTCGACTCTATACGCGTTGTGCGTCGGTGTGTGCTACCACTAATAAATAAATAAATCAATACGAGTCACATCTCTCTCTCGTGCGCTGAGAAGCGACTGCAATTTCGGCCGTTGATAAAATAAGAGCGACGCGACACGCTTTTCCTCGGCTTCGTGAGGCCGATCGCGTTTCGATTGTCGATACCAAAAGGAAGATGAGAAAAAAAGACGAAGCACTCGGGCACCGTTAGAAACTCGCGTGCGTGGAAATGGCTCTCTCGCTATCATTTCGATGGTTTATTTGCGGCAGTCGGCGATGCGGCGGAGAGACGCGAACATCTGTCGTCGCGCGCGGCTCCTGTTGTTTCGCGCAACACGACTGAATCGCGCGCGACGCCACGCTGATCCGCGTGTTTTCTTCTCCTTTCCTCTTCTTCCTTCTGTCTTTCCTCTATTCTTTTTGAATTTCACGCTATAATGTAAATTGCATGCGCGCACGCTGCGTCGAACGGAAAAACACCGTTAATCCGAGAAAACGAGAGATTGCAGCGCATCGATGATTGCCCGGAAAGCGATCAGAAAATGTCGAGGCTTCTCGAAAATTGACACGGTCTTAGGAATTTGAAGTGGTTCGCGTTCATTCGAGTTTTCTCTCCTGGATTTCATTCCCCTGAAATTTCTTTTCTCCTTTTCACTCTTCCGCGTCTCATCAACGCGTTCGCTACTAAGTTTTATTCGGAAAAAATTCCCCACCCTCCACCCCACAGACCACTTTGAATGTTTGTTTTTTTCTTTTTCACGTGATCGTGTAAAACAAACTTGGTTTGATAATGTGAACATGGGAAAAGAAAATTTTATACGCAAGCAACGCCGATCTGTCTGATGAAAGATCGTTGCGTCACGTACATGTCACGCCAATAGCGAACGTATTGACACGTTCATTACTCAGCCCACAGATCTTTTCGTATTTTCTTCCTCTTTTTTTTACGCAACTGTGTAAATTTAGGTCGATATTCGTAGACTAAGTTCACTCTCAGATGCTGTAAAAAAAATTCCAGTTATTTTGGGCACCAAACATACTCTTTTTTCATTTTTAACTGGAAAAATATTCAGGAGAAATTTTTATAGTAAATATTATTAAAGTATCATTATTATAATAACCTTACATGTGTATTGTTATTTACTATAAAATATCTTTGGCGCCGAAAATAACTATAATTTTCTATCTGTATACAAAGCACCTAAAGATGAACTTAAGACGATCTTAATTCTAAGATCTGGCTACACTGAAAAGAAGTGCTATACCATTCAAGTATTTACTTAATCTCCAAATAAAATAGTTACTTCAATATTCCTTGGCAAATACTTACTAGGAAGTAGAAACATAATTGACTGTATAAAATATGATGTTTCCTTCGTATAAATCGACATTTACTTGTACGTGTTAAAACAATTGGGACAAGTATTAAATTCATGATATCGGAAATATCAGAATTTTTACACAATATTTGTTGGATAGAAAGATCTAAATTTGAAACCATTAGATTTCTTCGGTGGAAAAGAAATATTACATAATTCTAATAAATACTCTGTTAAATTTAAAACCACTTTACACTTACATCTAGTAATTCCTTTACAAATTGAAATATTACTGCGTTGATGTAAGTATTTACCTATTGAAAAAAAAAAACCAAGTAGGAATCCACATGAAAAACCCATATAAAAGCTCAACGTTTCTCAACGAATTTCCCATATAAATTTGTATCGATTCCTCCGGAAACTCATCTGAATTCTTTTAATAAGCGTATACACAAACCGTCAGAATATACTCAAATTAATAAAAACATTATTCGATTTAAGATGCTGAAAAGACAAGTAATTACATTTACTTCATTCTCGCACTTTTTTTCTATGTACGAATACCGTCCTCAGTTTGCAGTATGAACGAAGAGAGCAATCAATTTCTCCGTCACACCTATGCGACGCCGGTCTCTCACGAAGAGATCGTCACGTCACACACGTGTGACGGCGTGATCGGCGAACGTGTGATCTCCAATCATCGATGCGCCTCCGTCGTAACACTCTCGCTCACGATTTGCACGAGTTTACGCGCTTGAATCCGCCTCGATGTGCCTCGACGTCGCCTCGAATGAGCGAAACCGTCGCGAACGAGCAGTCCCCGAGAGAGAAAAATGGCGCGTTTCTTTCAGCTGCTTCTCAGCATACATACACAGGCGGTGCATCGTCTGTCCGCGATAGTCTGTCCCGAGAATCTCGCCGTCCCTCAGTGCTTCTGCCGCGCGTTGTACGCCAAGGTCTGAGCGTACTCGCGCTCGGCTTCCGTGATCGCCGGTGCTCCGGTTCCCTTCAGACTCCTGTCCCAACCGCCGCCACCTTGCTGCCAGCTGCCGTGATGGTGGTCGCCGCCCTGCTTCTGGCTGAGCAGCTTCTTCAGGCCGATGATGAGCGACAGCACCAGGGCGATCTTGCTGATGATGAGAGCTTTGCCGGCCAAGAGGAAGAGCACGCCCAAGGCGATCGGCACGATGGCGGCCAGCTTCATCGCCATGCCCATCATCATCATGCCCATCATCTTCTTCATCTTGCCGCGGCCCTCCTCGACGCTGCGCTTCAGCTCGCCCGACGTCGTCCTCGGCAGGCTGATCCGCACGTTGAAGCTGTTCATGAGCGCGGCCACGCGCTCGAACAGAACGTCGTTGAGGATCTCGTCGGCGGCGCCGCCGTTCGTGCGCGCCAACGTGGCCTCCAAGTCGGCGCTGCGCGAGCTCTCCTCCGTCGGGACGGCCAGCCGCACGAGCTCCAGGTTATCCCCGAGCGGCAAGGTTTGTATACGACCGAGCCTCTCGAAGAAGGCTATCGCTTTCTTCTTCAGGCACGGCGACACCGGTACGTTGCGGTGCTGGCACTCCTCGTAGACGCGGTAGAGCGCGCGGTAGCCTCGCTCGAGGAAGCCGCCGTCGTCGCCGGCAGCCACGGCGCAGGCTGTCAACAGCAGCAGCACACACTTCGGGGACGGTCGGCCCGTCGTCATCTCGCCGGCTACGAGTAGGCTTCTCGCGATCCAACGATTCACCCGGGTGCTCTCTTCGTGCCACGTCGACCACGCGAGACACTCGGGAATCCGTCGACTCGGAGATGAGAACGGAGGAGCGCAACCCACGGGCTGGGATTGATCCTCGACTAGAGAGAACTGGCGGCAGGACGAAGTCTCCGGGCCGATATATACCACCGGGCATAGCAGCCGGTGGCATCCTTCGCGCAGGGGCTGAGGGGGTGTCGCGAAGACGACGCGCACGTGACGACGACTGCGCGACCTCACGTGTGTATGAGTGAGGTATAATCCTCTCGGTCTCTTCTCTCACCGGCCCCCTTCGGCTCCTCCTCGTCCTTTCATCCTCCTCTTTCTCTTTCGGCGCGCTAGGCAGCTGCCGCGAGCAGGAAGCCGAGCGGGGGGAGGAGCTGGCAAAAATTCTCATGCTGGTAGCGCGCGCCCGGAGGAGCTCCATGTGACCCTACCTGACACAGAGACCCACTCGCGCCGCTCGAGATCAACGCCGTTCAGCGGCCACGGCGATTCGTCCGTTAAATTTCGCCGCTGCGCTATCCTCGAAGAAACCGGCGAATAGCTCTTTGTGTAAGCGTGCGCGCGCCTGTCGGGAGCGCGGAGTACGTCGATGTGCGCCCCATCATCGAGATTCGTACTCCAAGGAGGAGAGGACGGAGAGGGAGCGCTGTGGACCGTATTGGTGTACCTGGCACCGTGACCCCCGTTGACCCCCGGCGTAACGTGGGGATGTTAGAAACTGGTTCCAGGTCGCGGACGGCTCGTGACCTTCCTCCTATCGCGCGGTATCTCTTCTTCCGCTTCTCCTCCTCGTCGCCGCGAGGAGTGGGTGAGGATTATCGGCCTGCATGATCTACTTTCCCTGCGCGCATCGGCCGATCATTCCCGCGCATCACGTTGTTCCCCGTCGTGTTCGCTATCGTTGTTCCCCGTGGAGAAGCACGGGGGATGAGGAGGGAGGAGCAGCGAGGAGAAGACAACCGGGTCGACGACGCGTCGTTGGTGATGATGCGCGCCGGTCTTCGTTGAAGCGCGTTTCTTTCGCAAAGACAGCGTCTCCCTTCAGTGTGTAATGAAGAGAGATTAGTGGAGATTTAACTGCTTCGGGATTTTTCACATACCACGTGGTGGAGTAGTAAACGAGAAATGTTAAATCGATCTTTCGAAAATTGATTTTATGGGGATTTCATAAACATTACGACGCAATTAGTTACTTCTTCTTCTTATGTTAGGCCTTAAGACCTCTGTTCCTCTCACATATGCTTGTGTTGATTGACAGAATGTTTGAAAAATGTTTTTAAACTGTCACTTGACAATATAATATTTCTAAATATTAAAATTATGCACTGAGAAAAGAAAACTTAAACATTTATTTGTGAAATATAAGATTCATCACGTAGAAATAAGTGTTCATTTAAATATGGCGAAATACAATTTTATTTTCCTAGCAAGTAAACCGGTTAATAAAAAAATTTTGATATATTTCACAAAAATATATATTCCGTCATCGCAGTCAAATTTCTTTCTAACCAGTAAATATCGAAGAAAGTGTCACGAAGTGAAACATTTGCTTCGCAAATTTAAATTTATATTTCTCTTTTACTTCAGTCTAGCGTGGAAATATTATTTTTAATGCTTGAATCAAATATTGTTAACATTGTGGCGTCGTATACAACATTAAGAATGACATATTTGGAAACGTAACATATTATAAAAAGTGTCACTGCAGTAAAATTATGTTAATGATGTCTCTCTTACTGAGATCATTTATACGATAAGTGCAGAGGCATATACTCGTATAGGCGCAAAATGAGCAATCAGCAGAGAATAAAAATGAGAAAAGACACGAATGTACTTGGAAGAGAAGGGGAAAGATAAAATGACACTTTTAGCACTCAAGTATCCGAAACAAGCTTAATCTTCGTGCCTCTCGGCGGTTCCGTCGATTTGTGCGCGAAGTTGACTCATTCACTCACTCTCAAAGGAGAATCATTAACGCGGTTTTCGCGGCCTTCCGGACCGGACGAAAGCAAATGCGCATTGATTATCGGGAGGTAAGCATTCACGCAAACTCGTGGGATTTTATTCTCGTCGCTTGTTCCTTCAAAACGAATGCGCACGTTTTTGTTAGATGAACGGTAACGTTTCGTTCCAAATTTATCGGCAGTGCGGCACGCAAAGCGAGACGGAAGAAACTGTAACACGAGCCTCTCGCGGTTACGCGATCACGAACGCGTGGTACTGTGTTCTCCGCGTTGCGCAACAGCAAATTTACAGTCGCTCACGGCGCCTCACTTTTCCGCAAATCGCACCTTGATTACGTATGCGTATCATCATACGTTCGCGTGTTCGTTTTCGGCACGATAACAATCATCGCGAAATTACCGATAAACGCCCTGCTCGCGGCGCGCAATTAGCTGATTTATCCTACCTGATAACCGCCGATATCCGAACACGCACATATCGCGATTACATTGAAACGCTTGTTAGCGGATGTTAGCGGAGTCGAGCGTCGAGTAACGAGTTCTGTTCCCGGGCGATTGTAAGCTCCCAAGCTGCTCCTTCAGAGAGATCAACGCGGAAACCGTACATGGGAAGGTAAAGGAAATCGCAACGCACCCTTCGAGAAATCTCTCGACGTCTCGAGAATATTAATATTGACCCATTGAGGATTCCGCATATTCGGAGTTTCCAAGAAAGAAGAAAGTATATCTCGCTTTACTCGGGTCGAAATTTGAATACTACATACTTTGACGCTCTTCAAAATTGTTTGAAGCTTACTTAGGTATCCTAACAGATCATTAGGTGGACTAATGGGAACCTACTTTGACTGTACTACACGTATTAACTACTCTGTTTTTTTGAACCTTTAATTTTGCAGATTTAATTCTAATGCTATCTTGAGGCTATAAATGTTTTCGATAATTCGATGATTAAATTCATGTCAGTATTCAAAACAACCTATTTTGACAATAAAAACTTATTTAAGGCATCTTATGGAAATTTAAGGCATCATCTTGGTCAATGTAAGAGTAAATTATATCATTAGAATCGAATCTATATATTTTGTTATTTTAACTCTTACTGTATTGCAAAATTAAAGCTAAAGCCAAAATTTTAGCTGGAATATCTTGTTATGCAGAAAAAAAAATATTAAAATCGACTAAACATAATTGACTATTTTTCAGCCGTTTATGAATCAAATAATATTTTTATCAATTTAAATACATTTTAATAATTTGTAGCAGATACTTACTTGAACGTAATAATAATATTTTAATTTGTATTAAATGAATTTGTACTGAAGTGTAAAAGGTTTCTAAATTCAAGGGAATATTTGCCAGAGTTATGTCTTTTCCATTGAAGAAACTTAGTGGCTTTAAATGTCGAGGCTTTCTGCGCACTAAATACTTTCTAAAAATCAATTCCGATATATTCTCAATATTATGAATTTAACACTTGTCATAATTGATTTAACGCATACGAGTAAACGTCTATTTATACGAACGAAATATCATATTGCACATACTCCATTATACTTCTGCCTTTAGTAAATATTCACCAAGGAGTATCGGAGTAACCATTCTACTTGTATCAAATAAATATTACTCCAGTGGTGGCCCTATTTTTTCCAATGTACGACGAAAAATTTCATTCACTTCCCTTTATCCCCGTTTTATTTCACTTCACCATGCTTCATTTCGTTTTCCTTCGTTTCCTTTCACTTCCAGCTTTTTCTCATTTTATTTCTTTCATTTGATTTCTCCGATTTACTTCGACACCCTCCGTCCAGCCACACCATCGGTCCCACCGATTTCGTTACCGAACGCGAATACGTACCCAGACGGAATGTTCATATATTACCGGCGTATTACTTACGGCGCAATTTGCGCCGTAAGTATCGGGCTCAATGTGTCAATCTATTCCATCTTCTTGTATCATGGCTCGTTAGGAACGCGATGCCGAGATCGCGCGCGCGCACCATCGACACGCTCGATCGAGGTTAGCGCATCTCTAATGCGACAACAGCCTCCACATGATGCATCCTCCACGCTGTTACCTACTTCGCGATTATCCCATAGTCAGTGCCGGCGGGGCGGCCGTGCCACATTCAGCGTTACGGCGCGCGGAGCTTCTCGCGCGCGGTTATATTCTCACGCGGAGCGGCGCGAGAAATGGATTCCCGCGCGAGAAACAAGCCTTTCGACGCACAATCGCGGTTGGACCCGCGATTATCACTCGTCTATCTGATGCCGCCGTTCGCGCACGCACACCTGCGACGCCGAACGCGCCGTACTTTCGATTGTTTCGTAAAACTGGAGAAACGGGACACCGTGCCGACGAGACAATTGATCTCGACGACATCTTAAGATCAATTATCTCGTTCTCGCCCCCACGACGTCTTCTTCTAACGTTCCGCCGGCGGAACGCTTCCTGGCCTATTGAGTCGCACGGGGTATTCTTCGCGAAAATTAACGACTAAGTAGGCTTCGCTCGCTTCGTCTCGCTGCCAACATTTTGCGACGAAGTCAACCTAGTCCAAGTTAATTACGACTGAGCGGAAATAATTAGAGGAGAAGGTGGTATTGTGGCCCCTCATTTACATAATAACTTCGTTAATTGACAATATTTTAAATCGGAGTGTCTTAACGATTACATTCGCTAAAGTGTTGTTCGAGCGATTTTATACTCAAAATTATGAAATATTTATTAGTTAGGAAGTTATTGATAAAAATGCGGCAACGCTGCATAATGGGTCGAAGGGAAAATACTAGTTTCGTTTAAAGAAACACAGTGTTTGGTTAAATATTTATATATTTATTCAAAATGAATTCTTTTAAAAAAACAACATACGATCGTGAATTTTTAATATAAATATCGACTTATTTGTCAGAAGATAGATATAAACTATTAAAAAGGCAGTATTTACAAAATAAATAAACAATTTTAAAATTCATTTGAATTAT